ATGTCAAATATGTCATATATGTCAGATTTGTCGATCATGTCAGATATGTCATATATGTCAGATTTGTCAGATTTGTCAATCATCTGCGCCACGTAGGTCCTATCATATTTTATTCGTTCACAATATTTAAAAATTATCCTAATAAATATTATTTTTTAGAATACCTCTTTATAATAAAATTAAAGATACTATCATGAATTTATTTCAAGAATTAGAAGATAAACGTTATAAAATTTTATTTGAAGAACCTATTAGATTTAGAATTTAGTTGGTAAATCATAGAGTTAAAGATATTATAAGTAAAAAAATTTAAATTACAATGCAAATGATATTATTTCAATTATTATAATACTTTTAGATAAGATATTTTTTATAGCCAATTTTTACAATGCAGTTAGAAAGAATATGTTTTATAGCCAATTTCTACAATGCGAGAAAGTTGTTAAAATAACACTTTCAATTTTTAAATGCGATTAGCAATTTCTACAATGTGAGAAGGTTATTAAGATAATACTTCAATTTCTAAATGCAATTAGAAAGGATTAAAGATGAGGGACGAAACTCAAAAAAGGCAATTAATAAACAGCCGAAACTATATTAAAACATAGTGAAGGGTACGACGAAACCCCGAAACCCGAAATTAGCCAAAACTATATTAAAAACATAGTAAGGGATATGACGAAATTATTTTGAGAGAGTTTCGGCTGGCATCTTTAGAAAGGATATTTTTTATAGCAATTTTTACAATGTGAGAAAGTTGTTAAGATAACATTTTCAATTTCTACAACGCAGTTAAACAGAATATTTTTTATAGCCAATTTCTACAATGTAAGAAGGTTGTTAAGATAACATTTTCAATTTCTACAGTGCAGTTAAAAAGAATATTTTTTATAGTTATTTTCTAAAATGCAAGAAGGTTATTAAGATAACATTTTCAATTTCTATAATGTGATTAGAAAGAATATTTTTATAGTCAATTTTTATAATGTATTAAGAATTATTTGCTTTTGAAATAAAACAAATAATGCATATAATTTAACTTTAAATTACTTTATTTTATTAATTTTAATTATTAAATTATTTATTTTCTTATTTATTAGAATCCTATTGCATCATTTTCATTATTTTTAAATAAAGAAAAAAATGAATTTAATAATTTGTTTGAAAGTTTAGCTAATCGAATTAAAGTTAATAGCAATTATTTAAATCAAATAATGATAAAACAAGTTCAAATAATTTAAGTTAATCATAATATAAATTTAGCTAACAAATATTGTGAAAAGTTTGTTACTTGTTTGGATTTATTAAATGATAAAAAATTTGCATCATAAATAAAAATCAATCAGTCATTTTTATATGCAAAGATAAAGCTATTGGAGCAGTAATTCATAAAGCAGCTAAAAAAGATGTGTTTATTCATTTTGATTATAAAATGAAATTTACAGTAAATGCATATCTTAAACTTAATTGTAAAAAAGATCATGATAACTTAAGAAAAATTGTTAGTCATAGTTTAAAATCAGAACAATTAACTTCATCTGTTGATAAATATATTTATAAAGATAAACAACTTCATCCTGAAACACAAAAATATATGATAGTGATAGTGATACTTTAGCAAACTGGATATATACAACAGCTAGACATTATTTATCTTGAAGTATGCTATCATATGATAATTTTAAAAATAATGTAAATTTAGAAGATGATAAACTTATAGATGCATTATTTTGTGCAGAAAATTATGAACCTGTTGGTTATAGAGATAATGATAAATCAAATATGGCTGTTGATTATGTTTATAAAGAAGGTATAATTGAAGAAGGATATTTTTTTTATCCTGAATATGATATTGCAATTAAGATAATATCAAATTCTATTTGATGTTGGTTAATGTAAGCTATACATTATACAGCTAAATTTAAATTAAATAAAAATGCAATCAGATATACTGCAATTATTACATTAATAGAAAAGACTGCTAGAGCTAAAGATGGTTCCCATAAATATTTTTAAAATTTTTAACTAGTTGTAACTTAAGTTGCAACACTTAGAGTTGCAACTATTTATGAATTTTTATATTAAAATAAATTTATAAGGAGTTGCAACTTACTGAGTTACAACTTCTTAATTATAGTATCCATCTTTAGCTAAAGCTATTGAACAAGAACAATTTAAATAAAATATAATAAATAAAAAATAATTAATTAAATAAATATATTATGATATTTAATAAGTTTATAAATATTTTTATTATATTTTATACATTGTTTAAATATATTACTGGTAATTTTTGTTTGTAATATTTAATAATTAATTTTGATATTTTGGCATAAAATCTAGATATTATAGTTAAACCTCTTTATCATTATTTTTGAAGGTTACAATTTGTATAATAAGAAAATTTGATTGAAATTTAATAATATTTTCTATATGGGAGCTGATCTATTAAAAATAAGTTACAGGAACTTTTTACAAAAAATGAGATTTTTGATTCATATTATTATATGAACTTTATTTGATTAAATTTTTAGAGACTATTAGCTTATTAATAAAACAAGTAATTTAGCTAGCGAAAATGCTTAAATTTCTGTGTAATATCAATCAAATATCTAAAATTAGATTTTATAGAAATGATTGACATGATTGACGTAAATTTTAGCAATGATCGACAAATGATCAACATATATAAAATGCTTCGGAGTATGGTTTTAATAGCAAAATCTCAAAAATCTCTCATGTTACAAAATTAGCGTAACAATACTTCAAAGTATAATTTTAATAGCAAAATTTTAGATATTTCTTAGTTACATTATTTTTAAAATAATTTAATATTTATAAAAATAATTATTATAATAAATGTTATACATATAAAATTATTATATTGCTTATATTTTTAATGCAATTATTTATTGGCCAAGTATGTTTATTGTGGCGTAACATTTTTTTGATCATCAATTACTCAAAATTAATTTATAGTCTCAAAACTCACTTTTAATAGATCAGCTCCCATATAGTAATATTAAAATTTGGTATATGATAATAAATTTAGAACAATTTTTAAAATTCAATAATTTAAAAAAATGATTTAATTTTTTCATAATTTTAAAATTTACACAGTTTTTAAAATTGAAATTTTTGCAATTTTAAAATTTATTCAGTTTTCATAATTTCATAATGTTAATTTTCAGCAATTTGAAATTTGAATTATAAAAATTAAATAAATTGAATTAAATTATTAATTACTATTGATATAATACTGATTAATTCTAAGTTTGATATTAATTAATATAAGAGTTAACACTAAGGTTGCTTGTCTAAACTTATTTTGGATTTGGCTAAATATTTAAACCTTCAGTTTTGCTAAATTTTTACTAAGTTTTTGATATAGTTTTACTATTTTTATATAGTTTTACCTTTTTCTGAATTTCGCAGAATTTTTAATAAGATTTTAATATAATTTAATCAAGTTTTACCTTTACCATTTAAATGTTTGTCTAAACTCTTGATTTCGCCTAGTAATCTTAGTTAACACTAATTAATCCTTATAGAAATTTATTAAAATTTTACAAGTAATATTTCTATTAATAATAATACAAGAAACAAGTTCACTATATTCCTTAAATTTAATATAAAATTCATTAAAAATTTGTTATAAATTTGTTATATTAAATTATTTTATTTAATAAAAATTCAGAATCACTTATATGATCATAATAATAAAATTCAGAATATTGAAATTTGTTATAAAGAAGTTTAACTATACTTTAAAATCTTTAATATTTATTTATAAACATATTAAAAATATTTTTTACGTTTGTTACAAAAAAATTTAAAAATTAATTTTATAATTATAACTAAATTTGAACATTATTTTCTGAATGACAAGTTAAATTACATTTTCTGTTTAACTTTTTACATGGATAATGTAAAGTATCACAAGTTATTTTAGGACATTTACAAGTTACTTCAAATTTTTTTTCAACAACTTGTAAGTGTATTTGTGATTCATTTTGTAAAGTAGATTGTAATCTTGCAGCTTTTCTAAGAGAAATTTGTTTTCTTGGTATTTCTTCTAATTTAGAAATATATGTATTTAATATTTCTAAATGTCTAACCGAATAAGTAATATTTAATACATCAAATTGAATCCTAATTAATACTTATCATTTCCACTAGAATTAATTATTTTATAAGGTAAATAAGTTCTATTAGTTTTTCCTTTATCTTCTTTTGGAATCTTTATTTTTACTAATTCTACAATATTATATTTATTAATTTTAAAAGATCGTGTCATTATTTCTTTCATACTAGTGGTATAAAGTTTAAGATTTCTTTTAGCATTTTTTCATATAAAATCATGTGAAGATAATTTTGTATTTGAAGGTCTTATATAATTTTTCTAATATTAATAAATATTATAATCTTATTTTTAATTATTTTAGTTAGAAAATTATTTATATATAAATTAGATAAATTATCTCTAATTGTTCATCTAATTGTAATTTAATTTCTTTTTCTGCCTTATTATTATTTTTATCATAATAAAATTCAACTAATTAGTAAGTTTATGTTCCTAAACATTTAATTCTTCAGTTGGATACATTTGAGGATTTTTTCTTAATAAATTAATATCCTTTAAAGCTGAATGGATTTTTTTTTATAATTAAAAATTTTAGATTTTCATTATATCCAAATAATTCTAAATATGATTCATTAATTTTTTCCTAAAATATAGCATTTACTTGTTCTTCACAATAAAAAATATCAATATCTTTACCCATAGAAGTAAAAATTTAATAATTTTAGGTTTTGATTGTATTTAAAAATTTATTATAATATTAATTATTTTTAAATTTTAATTTTAATTTATTATAATTTACTTACTTTTTTATTTTTGATTATAATTGTATTATCATCACTAATTATTAAATTATCATTTTCTTCTATTAAATTAATATCAATTACTTTTTTTTTTCTTTTTTATTACTAATAATTGGCGTCTCCTATATTTATATTTAAAATAATTAAATTTTAATTTTAATTTTCAAATTATTTTTTATATTTAATTACTTATAGGGTAAGATTTACTTGATATATATAATAAATTATCATCAATATCATCAATATTATTAGTATTGACAATATCTTGATTCTAAAAATTAATAATATTTTTTTATTTAAATTAAAATATTTGATAGATAAAAATATTATAAATATATATTATTATTCCATCTTTTAGAAGCATTTGATTCCTAATAAATTAATTATTAGTATTTAATTATTTAATTAATAAAAAGTAATTTCAAATTGCAAATTACCATAATATTACTAGAAATTATAGTTAGCATAATTATAACTGGTATTTAATTTGTTAATTAACTAATAATTAATAATTCACTTATAGAGAGACTTTCATGTGATTGGTCGATCGATTTCAATTGAATTTATACAATTTAAAGTATTTTTTTAGAATACTGTGTTACTATTAGTAAAAATTAAAAAAATTCATTTCAGTTTTAAAAGAACATTAGGATTCTCCGTTTAAAATAATCAAAAAATAATCAGAAACTCTGAGTACTTTACTTAGAAAGCAATATCACTATTAAATGCTATTACTGGATCTTGTGTAATTGCTATATGCCAGAAAAAATTGACTCAATAGAGAAAAGTAACTGAGAATGTTTTAACTAAAGGTCAAACCTTACCAACTTATATTTAAGAAGAAGATACAATTTGTCTAAACTGTTACAATGGAATTATTACAAATAGCTCACTCAAATTTCAACAGCATGTTAAAAAGTATACTGAAACTAATGTAAAATGACATAAACTTGAATCTATCTCTATTCTATCTTTTTTCAAAGCAATAGAAATAATAAAAAATATCCTATATACTCGTGAAAATCAAGAAATGGAACTAACATTATATTCATTTGATGAATTTCGGACAATTATGAAAGCAAAAGATGCAAAGTTAAAGCTATTATTTGATGAATTGTATCTTTCATATAATCCATCTTTAAAAAATAAAGATTCATGAGCATAAGCAAAAAAACAACTTCTTTTATATGCTATTTTCTTTGTGGAATTCGAAATAAGTTTGTTAATAATGCAAAAAAGGATTTGACAATATATTTGGATTCCTCCAGTATTTCTAATGCTCTATTGATACTCTTGCAAATTTAGGTATAGCTAGAACATCTTGTATAGTTACGCAATATAAAACTGCTGCATCTGAAAAATATGCTGAAACTGTTAATTCTGCACTTGCTGAATATTGTGATAAAGCAATGGTATTGAATATTAATGATTATTATAGTATTCATACCAAAAGAATATCTAATACAACTACTACATCTACTGCTGCATATCTAGCAACAATCTTAATGAATCCTGTTGCTTCACAGAATGCAATTCCAAGAGCATACATACATAATCCTATATTGGTTGATGCCAAATTGATTAAAATAAATTTAGAAAATAAATTCATGATGCTTTATGGATTTTCACATAATCAGCGTTAGGGATTTTGTACAGTTGAAAATGATATGAAATTAGAAGAGTTAATAGTGCATAATTATGATATTAGGCTAAAAGAAAAATGGATTGTTCGTTCTATAAAGGATGTTATTCTTGTAGATTTACAAGAGAATAACCTTCATTCTTTAAATACATATATTAAAGCCATTGATGCTGTTACAAATGTTTCATTTATGAAATAATACATTCAAAAAGAACAGATTATCCCTATTGTTTCTTATTGGCCAGGTCAAATTTATCTTAGAACAGCTATTTCTCGTTATTTGTTTTATAAGGATTCTTCGAATATTACTAATTCTATTTTATCTTTCATTTTCATTATAGGTCTTTTACATATTTCATTAAATAGCTAGGAATTGGTATTTCTTCAATATCAGCCTTTTTTAGCTATGTATAAAGACATATTTGAAGAACGAAAACCTCTTGCACAAAAACCTAAACTATAACGTATTAATCTATTTTTAGGGATTTCTCATAGTGCTTGGCAGGAAATTTCTAAAGTAGTTGAAGTAAAATTTGGATTCTTATGTAAAGATGCTGAATATCTTGCACTTAAAGATCTTTTTGATAATGTAATTCCTCTAGTTTTAGATATTTATACTATTTTTTCTGATCTGGTGATTTTAATGCTTATTTGGAATCCTGTTTTCATGTATAGATAATATTTTTAAAATTTAAATGCAAAAACTATACTAAAGCATCATTAATATTCTTTTCTGATATCTTTTATTGGAAGTTAAATAATGTTCCAATCCTAAAGATAATCAAGGCTGAACTTCCAAAATTTACAGATGCAACTGTTAAAATTTTTCATAGTTTCTTACATAGAGATACACAGAAACATACAGAAGCACAACAAATTATCAAATATGAACGCTATATCAACCAATTACATCTAGATAATAATGGTTTCAGAGAAAACTTTGCACATACATCAACATGGGCAGCATATGAATATTCTGCACAGGATATTACTATTTTAACAAAAAAATTGCTTACTTTTTGTTATATTACTTTTCAGACATTTATAAACGCTTTTTTAATGATAAATTCTATTATCACTTCTATCACCTATTATTATGATAAATTCATCTTTAAAAAGAAAAGGGAAAAAGAAATCTGATGATGATACTATTATACTAGCTGCGATGAAAATGCTAGGAGCAAAATTATGTCATATTCTTTTAGGTTTTAATACTTTGTGTAAGCCAAATCCATTTTATTATTGTAATGCAACTAATTATTCTATTCTTTTATCCACAAATATAGATACGATTGTAATTTTAGCTTGCGGTCATACATATCATAAAATTTGCCATAAAAATAATGGATATAAGTGTTCACATTGTCTTTTATTTATATAAGATGGTATTAATGAATGTCAAGTACTTAATAACACGATTGCAACAATTTGACGAAGTGCAAGTTGAAAAAGATAATGACAATATTCCTTATGATGACAATGATAAAAATGAACTGATAGAATGTATGAAATTTATATTAGAAGAAGCATTGCAAAAATTTCAATTACAATAATATTTATAAATAATAAATAAAGACTTTATTTAACTCAATAATTTGCTGATTTACATTAGTCAAAAAGATTAAAATTACATAATTTTTGCAAAAAAACTAAAAATGAATTGCTAAAACTATATAAAATATCTATTTTTAATATTAAAATAGAATACAGACCTTTGAAATAAGTAGTTAGAATTTTCTGAAGTCTATATAAGTAGTTTAATTTTAAGTTAATATCAGTGTTATATTTTATATAGTTTAATATTCGAATAATAATATCACATGACCTATATAAATAATTATAATATCAATTATAAAATTTGTATAACCTGATCGGCTAATCACATGAATGTCTTCTTATAAATAATTCACCAATTAATTATTAATTTAATATAAATCTGAATATCATCTAAATCATTTATTTCTTATTTAATTTCAATATTATTTAAAATATCATTTTTATTTAATATATTATTATTTTTTCAAATAAAATATCAAGCTAAACAAAATTATTTATCTATAAACTAATTCATGCATAGTTTTTCCAGTAGATCTACAAGTAGAATTATTTATATTCCATAAAGTTAATCTTAATGCTACTATCCATTCAATTAACTAATTTTGTTCTATTAAAGCACTTAAGTAGGATGAAAATGGGGTTTCTGAGACAAAAATCCAAAAGATATCCAAAAAGGATTTTCTGACTGCCCACGAATCCATTTTAACTATATGAATTAAATTATTGAATTTAAACCTCTAGTGCAATTTAACTTAAATATAGATGATGATATTGAACTTGGCTTGAAATTAACCTTCAGATATCACAAATTATACTGTTTGATTTAACCATTCTAGCCTGATTTTAATCCCAAATAATATTTCAAAAAATTTTTACTATTTTGTTTGCCTCAGG